GGGGGTTGTTCGTTGTTCATTCGCCAATGAAGGAGAATGAACATTTCGGAGAAACAATGAGTATCTCTACATCTCTACATGGACATGGACCTCTGTTGTCGTTCAATTTTAACGCTCTATTAGACATACAAATATCTTTCCGAAGGTTGAATAGTCTACTTGAGCTGTCAGTGGGCTTATTTTCTTTTTCAGTTTTTGTTTTAGAAAGTTTCACGGCACTTGCTACACAATTCCGTCATATACATGCCCAAGATTTGAGGTGTTACTGAGAGTGACATACAAAGAAAAGAAGGCGAGATCACGACGACAGATTTTTGATGGGAAAAAAGAATCGAACCATACCAGAACAATTAACATAAAACACATATTCGTTTAATTAAAAAGGTGCAAACTTGTCAACCTTCTCAAAACCCAATCAAGGACACCATGACATAACAACCAACAGTTACATCAGGACGTGGGGCTGGTATCGGTGTTGTGTATGATATAAAGGCTCTCGAATTCCTGACTGTCAAATCCGGGATAGTACCGGGAAAATCGGAACAGTTCCAGAAATCTTGACCTACACCAAAAGTGGGCATTGCCCTACCTATAGGAGATATTTGCTTTCAGTGGTGTGTTAATTTGTTTGGTTATAGAGAAAACTCGCCTAGTTTTAAAAAAAAGAAACTAAACAATGGTCCAAAAGCTTTAACTTCAATTGTCTCAAAACATTTTTCGGGATAGCGTCCTTGTTTGTTTTCTTTTAGTATAGGTTTTACGGCGCTCGCAACTGCATAAGGTCATATGAGCGTCAAGCCCCCTTGTGCTTAAAAGCGACCATATTATATATATTACTTATATGGACTCACGTGTGTTTCCCGAGCACCTCGGCCGTCTTGCGCCTCTGCAGCTCACTCATGTAGGCGATGATGCGCGTGTTGGAGGAAAGCAGGTTCTTGGCTGCCTCCAGCACCTGGGCCGGGTGTTTGCTGGCCACCAGGAGGCGCGCCGTGCCCTCCCGCATCTTGATCTCGTGGTCGATCTTCTGCTGCAGGTCATGGTCCTGGTGGGGGGAGACACACAGACAGACACACGGGTTAGTGTTCAGTTTCAGTACGAGCTGCAATACGGCATGATACTGGACACACACACAGACACACAAATACAGAAAGACAGACAGACAGACGGACAGACAGACGGACAGACAGACACACGGGTTAGTGTTCAGTTTCAGCGCGAGCTGCAATACGGCATGATACTGGACACACACACACACACACACACACA